GCGTCCAGAGGTGTTTCAGCTCGTTGCGTGTGCCTCTGATGTGCTGATAGTCCCACATATTACACTGCCAGTAGTCATGCCAGCAGTCATGTGAATCTGATGTTTTCTCAGGCTGACAATGCAGTTGAGGACCGACGTAGCCAGAGTCTTAAGTTAAATATTTTAATATTTCTCCTTGTTGTTGTACTCGTATTTGTACTTTTTTTAGTTCTCCTGGTACTCGTTAGGATGTTACTCGTTCTCCTGGTACTCGTTAGGATGTGAGAACTGTATGATATCTTTTAGAACATTCCTGTCATTATCGTATGTTTCTGCACTATATGTTTCTTTTCTACCAGTAAGCTATTCTGAATAGCTGCCCCAAACAATTTTATCAGACAGGGGCATGAATGTCATTTAACCACCAATAAGTTAGTCTGAATAAGCTGCCCCAAACAGCAAGCTAGATTATTCTGATAATCTGCAGATTATCAGAATAAACTGCTTATCAGCAGATTATAAATAATTCACAGCTGCGCCAAACAGAGCCTAAGGGTCTGTTTGGGGCAGATGTTGATTATTTATAATCTGCTGATAAACAGATTATTCTGATAATCTGATAATCTGCAGATTATCATAATAAGTTGGCTTGCTGTTTGAGGCAGCTTATTCAGAACAGCTTACTAGGAGCTATTGTTGGATAAATGATCATTCTGCCTCTGTTTGGTTAAGCTGTTTGCAACAGAACTGAAATTAGAACAAAGGTATATAATACAGAACCCAGAAATCATCAAAGATCAGTTCAAAAGAAAACATACAGTAGGAAATGTAAGAAAATAAATTAGGATAAGTAGCTCTGAAAACTTGAAATAATGAAATATAGTCATTGATGGAAAAAGGATGGTGAAGATTGATTTCTTTCGGCTCATTTCTTTGCTTGTAGAGAGAACATTAATTGAAATGATGATTCCATTTTTACTCATTTCTTTGCTTGTAGAGAGAACATAATTTTAACTTCAAGAAAATGAGTATAACTAGAAGAAAAATGAATTTCAAATCAACTGACTTCACCATTTTTCAAATCCAATTACTCCTTGTTGCAAATATACCTGGAATTGATGTTAGACTTTAACTGCAAGTAGTGGAAGATTTTGGAAAGAATCTTTAATTTAACTAGAAGAAAAATGAATCACAAAGAAGTTGTATTTAAACGGAAGGCACAGTTTTGTTAGCTCAGAACCATTCTCCGCATATCCCATTTATAAGCTACAATGCACGAATAATGCACAAGAAATTTACATTTGTTGCCCACAATTCTTATGTATCTAAACTCACACCAACTTTACTTCTACAACAAGCAAGGGAAACCAATCAGAGAAGTCGAACTTCAAGGATCGCAGGGGAAAGGAATCAGAAAGGAAAATCGAAATGCTAGGCTCGCGTGAAGGAAGGAGAGGGATATCGGGTATACCTTGTGCAGATCCTGGAAGGGGAGGAGATCGATTCTTCTGGAAAGGCAAGCGAGGGAGATCTGCAAGGAGGCGAGGCAAGGGATCTGCGATTCTCCCTGCGAAGGAGCGGAGGAGATCCAAGGAGATCTGCGATATTCCTTTCCGCGAGCTGAGCGAGGCAGCGATTCTCCCGATCGAGAGGGAGATCTGCGATCGATGGGTCTACCAGGCGAGGCTGCGATTCTCCAAGGAGGGCAAGCGAGATCTGAGGGGCAATGCTGGAATTGTTTTCTAATCGCAAAACTGATACGCGGGACGCAGGTGATATCCGACTTACGAAGATACGAAGAAAACAACGATAAGAGAACGCAGCGACACCAAAAAATTGGAGCGAACGCGATATTCAAACGAAAAGGTGGTGTCTTAAAAAAGCCGCCGCACCCTATAAGATGCCCTAAACGGGCCTTAAAATGTTCATTTTAGGTTGACCCAAACTAAAATCAGAGCATTTAGGAAGTTGTGTTCTTTTCTATTTTTACTTGGATGCTGATATTTGTCACTATTCATTTTTAACTATTCATATGAAAATTTTTTTGTTGTTCTTAAATATGTGCAGCTTCAATGGAAGTTTATTCAACGGGAAGAGAATCACTGTGCTACTTGGGCTGCTAAAAGATGTTTGGATTCTTCGGAGTTTATTTTCTCTACTGTTGCTCTTTTGGAGGAGCGGTCTCATTTAGTTAAGGAGGATGTTCCAAATATTCCTTATATTCGTAATGATAAGCTTTTTTAATATTTTTTTTTTTGTGTGAGTTGTGATCGTGGCTAAGCTTTTTTTTTTATTTTTCTCAAGTGAGTTGTTTGTGTGCCACACCTCTGTAAATATTTTTTTTATTAATTAAATTTTCAATGAGATTCTTTGATAAAATAATATTTCTCTTAAAAATAAAATCTTTACCATGCTACATAACGAAGACTTCAAGATGCTGTCATAAAAGAAATTAAAAAAAAAATACTTTCGATTACTCTTCGCGGTTAAAATGCTGAATTGGCCTAATTTGCGAAGACAAGCCGACGGAAAATGTAAATAATATGCAAATCTAACCTGGTCAGCAGAGGCGGGAGGTGCGTTGACCAGAGGGCAGGGGTTGGTGACTTGGTGGCATCGCTCACCCAAAATGCTTGCCTTTCTAGCAGTCCTCGGCCACACAATTGGCTACATTATCGGCCACATGATATATCCGCGGTAGTTCGAGGCCTTCCACCTCTTTTAAAATCTTGATGCCTCCTCGGTCTTTCCTCCTTCACCAAATAGCTCTCCTCTCTTCTTCTTCCTTACACGGCGGCAGAGAGGGAGAGAGGGAGAGAGGGAGAGAGGGAGATCGAATTAGATCTGCCGGCAATCCAGGATAAGGAGATGCAGTCGGCAACGATGAAGCTATCGCCTTTTGATCTGATGTATACGATCCTTAGCGGGAAGCACGGTGAGGAGTCTGCTACGGTGGCGGATTTCATCGCAGGTAACAAGGATCTTCTTTCTCTGCTTGCGACCTCAGCTGCTGTGCTCGTCGGCTGCGTGGTGCTGCTTTTGTGGCGGCGGTCAGCGGGTCAGAAACAGGCGGCGCCGCGGCGTCTGGCGCCTTTGAAGCAAGAGCCGAAGTCGGAGGTGGACGACGGGAAGAAAAAGGTTACTGTGTTATTTGGCACGCAGACTGGCACAGCGGAGGGTTTCGCTAAGGTTAGGGATTTTATCTTGTTTTCACGCTTTTCATGAGTAGTAATTTTGCGCTAATGCTGATTGAGCTTTCCCAGGCTCTTGCGGAGGAGGCTAAAGCGCGATACGAGAAAGCTTATTTTAAAATTGTTGATCTGGTAATACAGTTCATTCTTTAGGGGAATCATTGATAGGTTCTTATCAGACCGTTTTTTGTTGATATGTGATTTTCTATTTCGGACAGGATGATTATGCGGCCGATGATGATGAATATGAGGAGAAGTTGAAGAAGGAAACTATAGCATTGTTTTTCATGGCGACGTGAGTTGAAAGCTTTTGATTTTTCAATTTCCTTACAATTATGCAATCTGTTCTTTCTGATATTGCTGTGTATATTCAGCTATGGAGATGGTGAACCGACTGACAATGCTGCTAGGTTCTATAAATGGTTTACAGAGGTGGGTAGTATGTTTAAAGAACATTTATCCAAGTTTTTTCATAAGTGTGCTTTGTAAAAAGATAACCATGTCGTAACTGTGTTTTTTCAGGGCGAAGAGAGGGGTAGTTGGCTAGAGAATTTCTCGTACGCCGTCTTTGGACTCGGCAACAGGCAATATGAGCATTTTAATAAGGTCTGAGTATGGTTACCATTAAATTGCTTGCTCTTTTTACCAGACGCCATTTCTGACGCTCACATCTTTTGTATGAAATCTATTTTTCTTGAAACCATTCAGGTTGCCAAGGTGTTGGATGATGGTTTAGCAGAAGGAGGTATGTGTATAGTATAACTTCAGTTTTTTTTTGCTTAACATTTCGTTAGCTTTTTATTCCATAAATATGAAGTGATTCTACTATTGCATAATCTATGAATTTCTATTAAGATGATACACATGCTCTGTACACATCATCCAACCTTTTTGTTTTGAAAGGTGAATGTTTGTGGGATTTAATATTTCACTCCATCATGTTTGGTCGTTCTGAACTTTGATACTAGGTGTAATTACAGGGTTTGTTTCTTTTAGCTTTATGGCTTCAACTGGAAGAGCGCATATTTAGAAAGAAACTAAGCTATTAACTCTATGACCCAGAAGGCTGATTTTTTTTATTTAGATTAGTGTTTGTTATTAACTATAATTTACCTATTTGGTACTTCTTTTTTTAAAAAATGCAGTTTTAAGTTGTCTCGGGTTACTGCAGTTGTTTCTTTCCTAGTAAAACTCTGTTGATGTAGTGCTGGCATGAACAAGTTCAATGCCTTCTTAGCTGAATGTTCATTAGGGCTGTCAAAAAAGCTCGTCGTTTGCGAATAGCTTGTGTTTGATTCACTTGTTATGCAAAAGAGTCGAACATAAACAGAATTTCTTAGCTCGATTTATAAGAGCAGAACATGAATAAATTTTTGTTCAATCGTTTTCGGCTCGTTTAGACTTTAATTAATTTAATAATAAATAAATAATATATACAAATTAAAATAATTATTTGCTTTAATATAGATGTAAAATGGAAAATTTAGATGTAGATAAATATAAATAAAAATTGGGTGGTATGTATGTAAATGCCCATCAGATTTTTTTTTTTTTAACTGAGATGCTAGATGTGTAAACACATAAGAATGGGTGGAATGCATATGAAAAAAAAAGTTAGAGGTCATATATGTAAAAATATAAGAATTTCGTGGTATATATGTAATGCAGCTCAAAATTTTCCAATTATCTCCACGTGTTCTTCAGTGATGACAGCTGTAACATATTTAAATGATTCGCTGGTATGTATGTAATTTACCCTGGCCCGCCTCAATTCTTCCCAGTTCTTTTGCATTAGTTAGTCCCACATCAGTACTTCAAGAGTAAAGTGATTACCATTTTATTATAATTATTCAGCCCAAGTCTTCCAAATTATTCTGCATTGTTAGTCCCGCAGCAGGACTTCAAGAGCAATGTGATTACAATTTTATTATAAATTTTAAAAAGTTCAAATTTTTAGCTTCACGCCGATTATGTGAAGCAGGAACTATTAAATGTTTATTTCTTTTAAAAATAAATTAAAAGAAAAAAATAATATTTTAAGTTTAATTTGAGCTTAAGTTCGATCACGAGCTTAATTCGAACGAATAAATTTGATTTCAGCCAAACACAAATAGGTTATTAACAAGCTATTTCAAACATGAGCCCGTACACAAATAAAATAAAAATTAAATGAGCAGATCACGAACAAGCCTCCAGCTCGCTCATGTTCTACTTGTTTATATTCCTAATGGTGATTATGAATTCCCTAATCATCTGATTCTTTTATCACATATCACCATCATAATTTATTTTACATTTCATTTTTAAATTCTGTGGTGCTTGCTCTTGCTTGGTTGGAAATACATTTCTATTCTAAAGATTTTTTATGGTTGTGGATTCATGGGTCCGTGAAGCATATGGTTTCCAAATTTGAATAATTGTTTTTTAATGTAATATTAAGTTTGTGTTGCTTCTTATTTGCAACATTTTCATTGGGTACAAGGCTAACAATATATGTCAATTACATCGAACATTCTACTAGCTAGAATAATGTAAACCTTTCCACTAGACATTTTTTCGCCAAGGCACTCAGATGGTTAAAGAATTAATTTATAGTTATCATTGATTATTCAAATACTTTACTTGTTATATTTAGTGATTCGCCTTTTGTAATTTAGGTGGTAAGCGCCTTGGTCCAGTTGGTCTTGGAGATGATGATCAGTGCATTGAGGATGACTTCACTGCATGGTAGGGTAATCATTATTGTGCTGAGGAATTAAATTGCTTAATTTTGGATAAAGTAAGTTTGGTTGTTGTCCACTTTTGCCAGCCACTTCTAATTCATGTGTTATGTTTATGCTGGCAGGAAAGAGCAGTTATGGCCAGAGTTAGATCTGTTGCTTCGTGATGAAGATGATACGTCAAGCGGAGCTACTTATACTGCTGCAGTGCCTGAATATCGTGTTGTATTCATTGATCATGAAGATCCATCGCATGGGGAAAAGAATTGGATTCTTGCAAATGGCAATGCAGTTCATGACATCCACCATCCTTGCAGGTATTGTATAGTTTGATATAATACTGACAATCTTTTGTTTGGAGGATATTGCACCTGTTGATGGAGAAGCCCATGTTGATTCTTTTTATGCAGAGCTAGTGTGGCTGTGCGCAGGGAGCTTCATCTTCCACTATCCGATCGTTCATGCATCCATTTGGAGTTTGAGATTGCTGGAACTGGACTTGCGTATGTCTACTCTGACATCCATTCTCTAAGTTCTCAGTTTCTATTGTGTTAGTAACAATCAGTGGCTGTGTATGACATAATGGTTTTAGAACACTTCTTGGACATTTTTTATTTGGTAGCTACGGAGTTGTTCAATATTCTAGTCAGCATGGTCACTTGAGATTTATTATGTATAAAATTGTCTCAGAGCCGAAATTTACATGTCACAGCTCAATACCATCATTGTTATGAGCATAAATTGTTTGTGCATAGCGTTAAATGTCCTAATTGCTAAGATATTTTTCTCAGATATGAAACTGGAGACCATGTTGGCGTGTATGCTGAAAATAATGTTGAGAATGTGGAAGAGGCAGAAAAGCTGTTGAACTATTCGTCAAACACCTACTTTTCCATTCATGCTGACAAAGAGGACGGTACACCACTTAGCGGCGGTGCTTTAGCTCCTCCATTTCCATCACCATGCACTTTGAGGATTGCACTCACACGATATGCTGATCTATTGAGTTCTCCCAAAAAGGTTTTAATTGTTTCCTTGAGCTAAAACTTTTTCCGTTTCTCTTCAGCTAAATGATGTTATATGTTATATTGCATTTTCAGTCTGCTTTAGCTGCTTTAGCTGCTCATACTTCTGATCCGACTGAAGCTGAACGATTGAGATTTCTGGCTTCTCCTGCTGGAAAGGTTAGTTCTTCAATGGCACACTTTTACGAGACTATTTTTATGGGATTTTCTTTAAACATTTAGTACTATTTTTAGGACGAATATTCTCAATGGATTGTGGCTAGTCAGAGGAGCCTTCTCGAAGTTATGGCTGAGTTTCCTTCAGCCAAACCTCCACTTGGTGTCTTCTTTGCAGCAATAGCTCCTCGCCTGCAGCCTCGATACTATTCAATATCTTCATCTCCAAGGTGAATAATGCTTGTTCTTTAGTTTAGCTGACTTCATTACAATATTGGGGAAGCTAATACCTAAATTTTGGTTTGCAGACTGTTTCCCAATAGAATTCATGTGACGTGTGCACTAGTATGTGGACCAACTCCTACAGGAAGGATTCACAAAGGAGTATGCTCAACTTGGATGAAGGTATAATACTATGAAGGTTTTTTTTTTATTGTTCTTTTTTTTGTTGCGTGTTGTTGCATTTATATTTAGATTACAGGTGTATCTTTACTTTTTTATTGCTCATTTTTATTTGTGTTGGCATCCTTGATAACCTAGAATGATTGTCCAAGGAAAAACCGAGTATTTGGTAGTTCCACCATCTGAAACCTAAAAATATGAAATGTTGCATGTTTTCCATTGATGCGTTCAACCATATATTATACATTTATTGCTTTTTTTATTTTTAGCTGAACATTTTATCTTATAGGACTTGTTTTTTATTATTCTCTCCATTTGGAACAAACTAGTCTCCAACTCCACTCAGCTTAAATAAATCATATGTGTTTAACTTCCTTGTATCAGGTAATTTATAGAGTAAGAGCTTACAACATGAGTATAGTATATTGTTTAAACGGATGGTTAATGATAAAAATTAGTTTCTGCCTCTAGGAGAGAATTCCTGTCCATTTCCCCCAGATTTTTTTATCCTCAAGTGTTTATTTATTGTTTACGCTACCTACATGTCAATTTCTAACTTCTCCCCAAAACAGTCTGCACAACAAACTGCAAAATTAAGTGACGTGCAACTGTTATTTCACTGATTTACCTTTTGGTTTTCAACTTGGTAGATTTAATAGAAACATAATTTATTAATTTTATTATAATTTTAAATCTCTTTTTATTTTTCTTTATGGTTTAGATTTTTGTTGGATTCCATATTCCTATTGGAACTTTAATAACACTAGAAACTTGAAATGATTCCCAAAGCTTTTGCTTACGATTGGGAGGAAAACTGAACCCTTTGTGGAAGCCAATGGCATTCTAATGGGTATAATAGAGCTTTTCTGGCCCAAATATTTTTAAATGGGTGGTACTTTGATAACTTGCACAGATAATTAACAAAACTCATGTCTAGATACAGGTTGTCATCAGTCTTTTGTTAGAATTCAGTAATATTTTTGTCTGATTCTTATTTAAAGTTTGAGACTCAATTTATAATTTTTCTGCTCTTAGAATTCAATTCCAGCAGAGAAAAGCGAAGACTGTAGTTGGGCTCCGATCTTTGTAAGGCAGTCAAATTTCAAACCAGTTCTGTGCCAATTATAATGGTTGGACCTGGAACAGGATTGGCCCCGTTCAGGGGATTTTTACAGGTTAGTTGTTAACATTATTTATGGATCTGAACATCTACAATACGCCTTCGCGCTTAACAAAGTTATGTGCTGGCAGGAGAGGTTGGTACTCAAGGAGGCTGGTGCTGAACTAGGGCCTGCTATACTCTTTTTTGGATGCAGAAATAGGAAAATGGTGTGATAAATCAATCCTACAGAACTAATTAAATCCTCTATTATTATGATGATCAATACTGAAGTGTGACTTTTAATGATTCTTTAGGACTTTATCTATGAGGATGAGTTGAACAATTTTGCTGAAGCAGGAGCTCTGTCTGAGCTCATTGTGGCCTTTTCTCGAGAAGGAATTGCTAAGGAATATGTCCAGCATAAGATGCTTGAAAAGGTGAAAAATTCCACTCCAGGAATATACTCCCACCGCCTTATTTTTTTTTAAATTTTCGCTATGAACCATTCATGTTGTATCTTAATTGAATTCTTACGAACTACTTATTTATTAACAGGCATCTGAAATCTGGAATATTATTTCTAATCGTGGTTATATCTATGTTTGCGGTGATGCTAAAGGCATGGCTAAAGACGTCCACCGTACTCTTCATAACATTGTTCAGGAGCAGGTAATGAACAGAACTCCAAACTCTTCCTCTGTTGCCATCAGCAATACTTAAAATGGCTAGGTTTTAAAAACTTGACATAACTGGCAAGTTCAATTGTGAGCTGGTCTCTCGATTGATTTGATTCACATTCAAACTTGCTTTTGCTCAGAACTGGATAAAACTGATAAAAACTGGCAGTTGATTTGGTGAACTGTTTCAATGAATCATTTGGTTCATAGCTTGATCAAGTTATGGTTGTTTATTTTCAATTAGATGGTTAGATTTAAGTAACTTAAATTAAATAGAATAAATAGAATGATTTAAATTTAAATAATATTAGTTCTGTTCAAAGAAGTTTAATTCATTAGCAAAAATAAGCTTTTAATTACAAGTTATTGAATTTTTTTAAAATAAACTTTTTACTAATATGATTTAGCCTAAGGCAGCCATGATTAATAATGAAAAAAAAAAGGAAAAAGGAGAAGGATAATGTACAGTATGCTTTTTATTATTTTAATTAGGTGCATTCTTTTTCTTAAGTAGATTTGATTTTTATATTATCATTTTGTCATATGGGATCATTATTATGCTATATAAGTGATATTTTAATTAATCTTTATATTCATTACATCATTCAGCTCAACTCGCATTTTAGTCTCCGTTGAACTTCTAAACTTGCATATTTTCTTGTATCCGGTTATCAAAACCTTATCTGTATCTCTGATATGGAAGACTGTCTTTTTTCTTTTTTATCACATGACAGGGTTCTCTTGATAGCTCAAAGACTGAAAGCCTAGTGAAGAATCTGCAAATGGAAGGGAGGTACCTGCGAGATGTCTGGTGACCAATCAATCTCTCTCCGGTTCAGAATTTCAGATATGATGATAAAATATTTATCTTACACAAGATCGCGAACAGTTTATTATTGGACAAATTTCAGGTTCTTATATCTGCACATCTGCCGCATAGAATTATGAATTTAGGCGCATTTTTATGACGATTCTTTTGAGTAGTAGATTTTTTTTTTCTTTTTCATTGTATCATAACATACATCATATTGTATCTCCAATCCATCCTCAGGCCAATTTGTTTGGGAGAAAATAAGTAAAAGAATATATCTATATTTTTGTTTCTTGAGTGTTAGCTGGTTGTATCATGCAGTGGCTGAAAGTAGTTTTCAAAACGTCTGAAACTTCACGATAATTTCTTCAATTTTGATCTGAATGTGGCACCATATCCGCGTGCATTTGTTCTTATTCTCCTCAATTAATTGTGCATTCTTTTAATTGTTATCGATCATGTTATGCATTCTCTTTTCTTTTCTAGGGGGGAATTCTAATCATTTCGAAATTAATATTTTGTATTGATCTCGGGGCTCATTTTTAACACTGTAGTTGCTGGGTCCCAAGTCTCAGATATTTGAAGTGGAGGTTTGCGTTAGATAGTCTACAACCAGCATAAAATTTATCAAAAAATTCATGACATGAATCTTTTTTATTTTTGTGTAAATGTTATGGTGTTCCCTAAAAACGACGCACTGTATAACTTGAACACAGTAAAAAGTGTGTGAGGAAGTTGTTACACCGGCGGTCGGGTGTAGTATCAATTAAGCAAGAATTCTCATATTAAGAATGAATGCGGATAAAGAAGATAATTCATGAAATTAATATTATGATAGAATTTTGGAATATAGGTACTTTCATTGGTAAATTAATGAAATTAGTTGATATTATGATTCATTAAAAGATAAATATTTTATGTATTCAATAAATTAAATAGATTGGATGAAATGTTAAGGAGAATGATAGCTTACGTCTTAAATTTTGGTATTCATGTAGAAGTCGCATTAGAAATGTTGTAGGTGTAATTATAGATAAGAGTTTGAAAGATAATGTTATAAAAATTAATAGAATTGGAGATAAAATTATAGCATTTAAGAATGTTGTTGATACTAAGATTTTTAATATTATAAGTACTCATGTTCCTTAAATAGGTTTAGAAATACATTTTACTGAAAAATTTTGGAATAATCTAGAAGAATTAATACAAATGATACTTCTTTAAAAAAACATTTTTATTGGACAAGATTTAAATGGGGATGTTGGTAGAATAGTAAAAGATTTTAGAAATATTTATGGTGGCTACAGTTTTGGAGTGATTAATGTAGAAGGTACTCATATTAGATTTTGTTTTAGTGTTTGATTTTGTTTTTGCTAATACTTCATTCAAGTAAAGAGATGATCATATTTTTACTTATAAGAATGGTTCTAATAAAACATAGTTAGTTATTTTCTCATAAAAAGAGGAGATCGTCGAGAATGTAAAGATTGTACTGTCATTCCAAGTGAGAGTTTAAGTATTCAACATTGTTTATTAGTTCTGGATTTTAAGATGAATGATTATAAAATAAAGAATACTAGGATTCTTGATCATAGAATTAAATGTGGGCACCTAGAAAATAAATAACATTATTTTATTTCATGATTCGGGATGTTCATGAAGAAGTAAATTCTTTGTAGGATAAAGTACCAAACACTATTAAATAAATAACAAAACATGTATCTTGAGAATCAAAATGAAAATTTTCTATAAATAAAAATAGTTGGTTGTGAAATAATAATGTGTAAGTAAAGATAAAATATAAGAAAATGTGTAATAAAAATTTGTTTAAATGTAAAAGCTTAGTGAATTGAAAAAAATATATAAAATGACATTTAGGGAGTCTAAGAAAACAATCCGTGACACTAAATATTTTGATTTTAGTGATCTTTATAATAAATTTTATATTAAAGAAGGTGAAAAATATATGAATAAACTAGCTAAACAGAGAGAAAAGAAAATTAGTAAAGTGTATTAAAGATGAAAATCTAAAAGTGTTTTTTCTTAGAAAAAACTATGCAACATAGGTGAGTGAGTTTTTTTTTATAAATATTCATGAGTTTTTTTTATAAATATTTAATGAAATTTCTGAAAATGTGGTCGACCTTAGTGATCTTAATATTAATAATAATAATAAAATGTTGTTTTGTTTGTACCATCGCATTAGTAAAAAGAAAGTTGATGAGACTTTGAAGAAAATCAAGCGCGGAACGTCTGTAGGAACTGATGATATCCTAATTGCAGTGTGGAAATATTCAAGAGATTTGGAAGTTTTTTTTCTTATTAAACTCTAATATTATTTTAAAAACTAAAAAGATGTCTAAGGAGTGGAGGAAGAGTATTTTGGTCCTTATTTTGAAGAACAAAGGAATGCACAAAAGTGCATAAATTATGGATGAATTAAGTTGACCTGTCATACTTTAAAGTTATGAGAGAGGGTAATTGAATATAAGTTAATACATGTTGCAAAGATTTCTCATAATTAGTTGATTTATGTCTGGTAGGTCAACTATGAAAAATATACATTTATTGAGAGGTTTGATAGATGAGTACAGAGAGAATAAGGAGGATCTAATGATTTTTTATTGATTTAAAAAAAACTTACAATAAGGTTCCAAGAGATTTCCTTTAAAGAGTTCTAGAGAAGAAAGATGTTGATATGACTTCTATTCAAATCATTAAAGATTTGTATTCTAGAGCTATTACTTGTGTTCGAACAGAAGGAGGATTGATTAAATGTTTTCCTATTTCAATTGGATTACATCTGAGATCGACTTTAAGCCCATATCATTTTTTGTTTTAGTTATGGTTGCCCTTACTAGACATTTAAGGAGGATGTACATTTATGTATGCTTTTCGCTAATGATATTCTTCTTGTGGATAATACTATTGAAAAAGCTCAGGTAAAACTTAAATTATGGAGATCTACATTGGAGTCTAATGGCCTTCATTTGAGTAGAACTAAAATTGAATACATGAAATGTAATATTAGTAGTAGTGGCTCTAGTGACATAGTTATGACTATGAGTGATCAAATCTTTAAAATGTATGAACGCTTTTGATGTCTGGGTCTATTATTCAAAGTCATAGTGATATAGATGGGGATGTTATTAGTAGAATTCAAGTTAGTTTGTTGAAGTGAAGGAATGCTTCGGCCGATTGTGTGATAGAAAAGTACCGTTTAGATTGAAAGGAAAATTTTAAAAAATGTTGGTGAAACCAGCAATGCTTTATGGCGCAGAATGTTTGCCTTTAAAAGAGAAGCATAAAACTAAGTTAAGTGTCATCGATATGACAATGGTTAGGTGGATGAAGGGATTTACACTTAGAGACAAAATGCGAAATAAATATATCTGTGATAGGGTTGGTCTAGCTCCAGTGGTGGACAAAATTTGAGGGAGTCATCTTAGAAGGTTTGGTCACATTAAACGTAGACCATCTGATGATCCAATTAGGAGAGTAGATGTTTTATATTTAACTTATGTTAAGAAATGCAGAAGTAAACCTAAAAAGAATCAACATATTGTATAAAAAATGATCTTAATTTATTGGAATTAAATGAAAATATAGCACTCAATAAGACACAATGAAGAAAATTGATTCATGTAGCCAACCTCACTTAGTGGAATAAAGACTTATTCTTGTTCTTGTTGTTGTCAGGGCTCATTTATTTTTCTAACATCATTAAATTAACATACATGATTTAAAAGAAATTAAGATTATTATAGTTTTCAGATACAACAAAAATTTTGAAATAATTTTATTCTAATTGCAAGATAAGATTATGATTTCAAAGTATGTATGTATGTTGGTTGTAATGAAATTATTGCAATTTTGATTGGTGAAGTAAATTAATTAACTTAAAAACTTTAGAGAACCTATATTGTCTAACTATTAATGGTTAGAACATTATGGTTGTTGATAGAAATATAAGATTTGTCTTAGCATCAAATAAAATTATTTTTACCTAAAATTTTGTTGACTATTATAAATATAATTAAAATTAAAATTTTTGGGTGATAAGTTCCCCTTTCAATCATTCTATAATTTCACCCCAAAAGAATAATACTTGAGTGAAAATTCTGAGTAAATTAATAGGGGTTCACCTAGCTATAAAGTCTACTAGTTATGACTTTATAATTATAATTAGCCTCCGTTGGAAAATGTCTCATTGTATTGGAAAGCATAATTTGGGGAGTAATTTTATTTTTGGAGAATGGGGTGAAGTGGGGGATATTAACGTAGCTTGTAATGAAGGGCATTCACAAACAACCCTTTTTATTTTAATGGAAAGGGTGGATTAGACAAGTTTTTTTTTTTTTTTGTTTAGGATAGGAAATTGGAAGATCAATTGATGATAATGATAGAGGGAATTTAGATCATTCTCCTTAAGATAGAGAAGGAAATGAAAAAAAGAATTTTCAATAAAAGACAGAATAGATGGAGCAATTTTCTATGGGAGGGAGGAGAAATCAATGATTTGTTGGTGGTGAAGTGTGAGGGGTGGTCATATCTTCTCTTTGAGGGAGGAATTGGATGATTATTTAGTGACAGGCAACAAGAGAGTTTGCAAATGATTATATGAGCTGGAAACTATTATATCTTTATAATTTTTTTAAAAGTGATATGACATCAACAAATTTTTATCATCTAATATGAATGTCGAGGTGTGACATAATTCTCAAGATAATAGCAAGGAACATTCAAAATTTAATTAAAAATTACCCATTACTACGATATCGACAAACTCTTGACAAACAGACCGCCTCAATGCCACCGAAATTAAATCAATCAAAGTTCGATCATGCCCAGATCAAGCCGTTAAACCACATTTGGAATCTTTTGATACTTAATTAGAAGGTCAAATTGATTTCAAATCTGGTCAACTTAAAGTCAAATCAAGTGTCTCAAGAAAAATAATCCAATGAGCCTAAGGTCACTCTGATTAGCATCGCTAAGACACTCAAATGTACATAAAATACCGATTAACAAAGGGGATCTCTCTAAGTCATCCGATGAAATGATAAGTTTTTTTCCTTATCTATTAGGAGGCCCCTTCCAGACTCTGTAAATAAAGCTCTTCCTTCTTCATGAGAGAGAATCAAAACCTTGAACCAGAGTAAGCTCAAGACTTGGCGGAGTTGAGGTCTAGTGTTCTATAGAGAAGGTCAAGTGAACTCTACCCACTCTTGCAACTGATGCCTACTGTTGACCACTGCTCTTTGGTTGTCATCGACCACTATTTGCTGCTTCTACTCATTGTAATGAAACCCCTTATAGATTCAAGACATGTGCTGTAGAATCTCGGTAAATGTTGTGGAGTAACAAAGAACCGTGTTGAGTACCAACCAGCCTTGTGGAGTAATGAAGCATCC